CCCCCCCACCAATCCCCCCCATCTGGCCCTCCCCAACCCCCCACCAATCCCCTGCCACATCTGCCCCTCCCCCAGCTCCCCACCAAATCTGCCCCTCCCCCCAGCCTCACCTCTGCTCCTCCGGCAGCTCCTGGGGTTCCCCCCCCAGGCCCGGGGGGTGCAGTGGGGTCCCCGCTCCCCTCCCGGCCGGGTGCTGCGGGGCGGGGCCGGGCTGGGCTGGATGCTCGCAGGGGCGATGACCGTGGAGAAAACAGCTTCTCTCCGCCCCATCAGCTGCCACGGAGCAGCCTCAGTAACAGCAGCTGATTCCCCCCCCCCCCATCAGCTCCCTGCAATTCCCCGGGGGGGGGGAGGGTTGTGCAGGGGCCAGAGCGTGTCCCGAGGGGGTAAAACAGTGGGCAGAGGGGGGCAGGGGGCAGGCTCCGGGGCGGGGGGCAGAAAGGGGGAGGCACTGGGGGGGATCCCCAGGAGGAGGAGGGGCAGAGGGGGTTCAAAATTTTGGGGTGAAGAGCCACCTGCTGTGGTCTCCAAAATAGAGCATGGGTGGGTGGCTTTGGGGTCCTGGCTTGGGTCCATCCCAGCAGCACCCCCCACCCACCGCCGCCGCAGCCCCCACACCTGCAAGGGTGGCCAGCCCTCCAGGACTGAACGATTCCTCTTTCGTGAAAGAGGATGTCGTGGGAGTCCACCTCCAACCAAAACTGGCAACCTTAACGCCGGCCCACAGCCGCTCTTCTCCGGCTGCAGCGAGAGACTGAGGTGCCAAGGGGCCCTGGAGTCAGGGAAATATTTTGCACGGACGCAAAAGCTGCCATAAAGCCAACTGGCACTTTTCACGTGTGTTTCTGATGCATCACAGAATTACTGCTCCGTTTCCGTAGGATTCCCTCGCCTGCACAGGGCCTCACTGCAGCTGTTCTACCTTTGCCTGTTCGGGGCTCCCTTCCCTGTCATCCACGGGAAATACAGTTTCTCCCCTTTTAATTTATTTTAAAAAATAGTATAATGTTTATGACCATGTGTTTGGTGCTGTACAAACAACAGGGCCATGCGATAGCTTCCCTCAGGCGATGGCAGGCCAAGGCCAGCTGGGATGTCTCTCTTCATTTATCCATCCCTCTGTAATGTTAATTTTTCTCTGCATCCTGCGTCTGTCCCATGGCTAGGAGTTAGAGCCAGTCCAAATCCTTAAAAGGTCTATCTCTGTAGAACAAAGTGTCTCTCTCTCCGTTTCATGGGTTATGGGGGTCTCACAACATACTTTTTGGTGGCCGCTCTGAGAATTTTTCCTAAAATACTTAATTAACTTTAGGAAAAACAAATAAATATGCACATATATACATGTCTATATCATTGTCATTTATTTGTGTAGGGTTTTTTTTTTTTTTTTTGCAGACTCAATAATAATAATAATGTACAGGTATCAGAGGGGTAGCCGTGTTAGTCTGGATCTGTAAAAAGCGACAGAGAGTCCTGTGGCACCTTATAGACTAACAGACGTATTGGAGCATTAGCTTTCGTGGGTGAATCCTCACTTCATCAGACGCATGATGCATAATGTACTCTATTCTTTACTGGACCTAAACAGAATAGAAACAAAAATAAGGTGCTTTGCATGTTTGATTATTATTATTTTTTTAGATTGCTAGTTAGTAAGTCTGCTCCTGTGAAAAGTGATATTTGTATATTTGTTTAATATCACTTTTCACAGCAGACTTACTCAGCCCTGGCGTGCTCGGGGACAAATGAAGCCCTGGATGGGGAGGTGGGTAAGGAAGCAGGGGGACCAGGGGGAGGCAGCAGGGATCGAGGTGTCAACACACACACACACACACACACCCAATCACAGCCCAGGAGGCTGTGGCCACAAGAAAAGCGCCTGGTAGCCACATGCGGCCGCATTTGAGAAACGCTGGATTAGATTCTGCTCCCAGAATCTGGAACAAGGAGGCGAACGTCAGTGGATTTACTTCACATTTCCACCATAGTAAACAAGACCCTTTCTGTCCAGTAAAAACACAGCCATCTACAGTCAATTGTCCTGGTTAATGGGAACCATCAAGATTCCAAACCAACATTAATGGCACACC